ATCTTGAAGCCAGAAAGTTCTACTAACAGTTACACAGTCTTTATATTGTGAGACTGTGTCTAGAGCTGCTTTATATGAAATTTTACTCCAAAGCATTAAATTTGAATCCCTCCGGCAACTAGGTTCATCTCTTCTTCAATAACAGTTTGACAATAATTAACCTAAATTGCAAATAAACACCAGCCTTCCCATTGGTTGAAACGCCCTACCTGGACCAGTGCGCATGCACGGAGGACATTTGATAGGTTGTAATGAAAATGATCAGTTATTGTCATTACTGTCGCTTGGATTTGGTTCAACCATAGGTTATTATTTTTTATGATGTTACTTTAAGGTAGGCTGCTACAGACATTGTAAGACATTCAATTTAATTTAGCATTTAATATAATTTAATTTGGGAAGCAGTTTAATAACGTATGGCGGCGTTTATAGAAAATTTTTATTTACGAGATAATATAACTTAATTTAAAAGTTGGCCAACTTTTGTTTTAGAATACCTAAAATTAAATTAAATTTGACCATTTTGCTATTGATGACATGAAACTCAACTGTCAGTTGAGATGGAAAAAAAGTAAGGCCTGATTTTACCGAACAGTGGTTCACTTGAACTCCACTTGTACTTGATCTTTTCTCTAATGCGTTGCTGTCAAAAAAATACACCAGTTGTATGACATCAATGCATCAAAGGGGACTGGTTTTTGTCGGCCTTGAATAAAAAATAGGTGATATAAAATAAGAAAAATAAAATTGAGAAACGGGTGAACTCAGTGCAACTTTAAAATTAACTGGAGTGGCCTGTGTGGAAGTTCCAAGTCACCCGAGTAGTTTCAAATGACACAGAGAGAGATGAGTCATCTCTCCAGATGGTATTAAGAAGAAAAGTATCTTCAGCACTTGACACACGACACACCTATATATTCTGTATATCACTCGTCAAGGCAAATTGAAATGTCCTGAACCTTACAATAATGTTAAACAACTCTGGTTGAACCGGACTTCCTTTCAAGCATGATGTCATTCAGACTCAACCCAGAAGTAGTCTTCATCGACCCGTCAAAAACAACCCTATATTCCGTCGTCAATTTATCCTCACGCACGACACACTGATGAAGAAAATAGTATCTATTTCTATACTAAACTAGGGATGCCCACTATTGTGAAGCCAAGAGTGGCAAACGCTGAAAACTGTGTAAGACAGAGAATCCACAGTAAGCATTCATCTTCAATTCAATTCAAATAAGCTTTATTGTCATAAGTTAGGAATAATCCATTGACAAAGCAAAAAAAAAGTAATCTTAATCCTATTCACAGGTACTAAATAAATAGATACACACTAGTCACTACAAAGAGATCATTAAAAAAATATAGTCAAATTGCAATATCTTCTGCCACAAAGCACACAAAAGTTCTTCTCCTTAGGATTGAAGGCTCACTGTCAGAGTTTATATCAGATAATATCGACGAAATAAAAACAAAGTTGAGACCAGCAGGTGAGACTCTATCAGAAAAAATGTTATTACAAAAACACTCATGTTTCTTCCTGAAAAATTGAAACATTTTAGATCTGCTTGGGAATCAATCCCTTCTGATAATCAAAATCTTGAAGAGCTGACATCTCGACTTTTGCTAGAAGAAGAAAGATTTAAATCTCAAAAAATGCAACTGCTTTGACTGCAAAGATCAACAATAAAAATGAAACAAGATTACGGTGCCATAATTATTCTAAGCTTGGTCACTTTGCTAGAAATTGCTACTTTAGAAATAAAAACAATAAAAAACCAGAAGACAAATTTGAAAACTCTGGTAATCAGAAGTTTTGTAAGAAAAAAAAACCATAACATAGAAACTTGCCGGTTAAGGAAAGGCAAAGAAAGCTGTTTAAATCAAATCATGTCAATTTATTTGTGCTAATAAAACATTTACCTACCTATTTTACCTTAACAAATTTTACAAACAAATTTTAAAAATTTTAAACTTTAAATCAGGTTAAAATGGCACAATTACTAATATTTTTAACTATTTTTTCAGTGCAATTTATCATCCATCCAGCTGAGTGTGAAGTTGTTGAATTCTTGTATAGAATAAAAAACCTTGGAAATTGAAAAGTCCTCTACTTTCTTTTCAAATTGGGACCTACTTAAATATTTCAGGGGCTCAGGAAGTTTATTGAAAAATGTGACTGCATGGTGTAAGATTGGTTGCAGGTTGTTTTTGTTTCGCGTGTTGTAGTTGTGAATCTTCTTACGGGCTGATTTTTCCTGGGCCAAAATAAAAGGAAATAAGCGTATTCGCCGCACTAAATAGCATACCTTCGTCAAGCCACTGTTTTCTTTCCAATAGTTGTGGCCACACTTTTCGTCAAACTTTTCATTCTTCCCAGAATCATCGAGCTAGAGGTTGAATAATGGAATTGATTTCCTTTTCGTAGGGTTAAAATAAATAGTCAATTAATTTAATAATAAACAAAATCACAATATTTACATTAGAACAGCTGATTGTCTGATTCGATTAGATTGACAGCGCTCCAAATAAGGTCAATGAACGGTACCGACTAAATTTAAATTAGCCCAATGCCCAACTACCATCAAAAGTCCTCAGAACCTTTCATCTTGGAGTCTTGACACAATCTTCTCAAAGGACATTGAAGGGACAAGCAGAGGTCATTCAGGTCGAGGACTTTCCACGATGAAGTGTTCGGGAAAATTCCTCAGGCACATTTTGCCGATTTCTGAGTTGTCCAGTTTTCGCTCATAGATCTAGGGTGGCTAATGCGTTAATTTAGCACCAAAGCGCCTTGCACGGATTTCTTTGTGAGCCGGAAAACGTGATCAATTGTTTGTGCTATTCCAGTTCCTAAAGGCCAAAGTAGTTTGGTAAGTGGTTTTCCTCACCTATCAAACCTTACCAACCCCTTGTTGGAATAAATCACCACAGCGACGCAGTCTTCTACTACAATATTAAATTTGCCCTTCAGGTTATGTATTGTTACTTCAATGTTAGTTAATATTATCTATATTACCTATATTATATTAAATTTGCCCTTCAGGCTAGGTATTGTTACTTCAATTTTAGTTAATTATCTATATTACCTATATTATATTAAATTTGCCCTTCTGGTTATGGATTCTTGCTTCAATTTTAATTAATCATCTATATTACCATATTATCCCATAAATACATGCTGCACTGAATACAGGAAAATATACTTGTTCACTGGGGTTAAATGGCCATTTACGAAGGTACTGCATTTAGTAAGCTTGTCTTTTTTTTAAATTGCGTTTTGCGGGTAACAATGTCACTGTGGCAGATATACCTGCCATGATGGTCTTTAACATATGCATGTTAAATTTTGGAGAATATACTTACCTACATGGCAAAGTTGAGATTCTGGTAGTATTAATTCATGCTAAAACAGGCATGTATCTTTCACTCGCATCTTAGCTATGCTTTGCTTGTTTGGCGCCACTTTAGCGGGGTTTTGCTTTGCAGAGACGTGCTGTGAGGATAATTGCGGAATTGGGTTATAGAGAAGACGAAGGTACGTTTTGCTTGAAGCGACTATTGCGATTATCGCAGGGCGATAATCGCGGAGTCCTGCTTGTATATTTCGAAATTATTTCGCGACCATCCCTAGAGTCGCTAGCGTCAATCGAGCGCGTCTGGTCCTAGAGCAGATATAATCGCCAGTCGCGAACGATTATTATTGTCGCGAAGTTTCGCGAGGAAAAAGAGAGAGAGAGAGAGGAGAGAGAGAGAGAGAGAGAGAGAGAGAGAGAGAGAGAGAGAGAGAGAGAGAGAGAGAAGAGAGAGAGAGAGAGAGAGAGAGAGAGAGAGAGAGAGAGAGAGAGAGAGGAGAGAGAGAGAGAGAGAGAGAGAGAGAGAGAGAGAGAGAGAGAGAGAGAGAGAGAGGAGAGGAGAGAGAGAGAGAGAGAGAGAGAGAGAGAGAGAGGAGAGAAGAGAGAGAAGAGAGAGAGAAAGAGAGGCAGAAAAGAGTGGAAAAAACAGTCACAGTAAGTGAGTGAGTGAGGAAAGAAGTGAAAAGTGTTAAGGTGTGGTAAGGGTGGCTAGAAGGGGATGGAGGAGGCCACATCAAAGGTAACAGGGTAACAAAAAAGAGAATAAAAAAAGAGAATCCTGCGGGATTAGACTATACAAGTGCCAAGAGTAACGCCTCAAGGTTATGCATGCAATAAAAGAGAATCCTGCGGGATTGTAAATTACAATCTATCAAGTTAAAATAAAGTAAAAGAGAATCCAGAAGGATTTATAGTCAGTGAGCTAATGCAAGTAATTCCAGGAGCATGGCCCGCGCAAAGGGATTGCTTCTGGACATGGTGGAGGCGCCGGGCAACGGACTCCGATCCGCTGATAGCGATTTCCATTTTCAGAATCAGTGCATAAAGGCTAACCTAGGTCGGAGGATTGTCTGATCATAAGCGACTAATGGGCCATCAACTTATGCAACCAATAATTCCTTTCAAGAGTTCAGAACACTAGAGCTACTCGCCCCGGTGTTAGTCGACCCCGATTTGAAAGGAATAAGCGCGTATAGCCCCGGAGCTGTTCCGGAGCTCCTCCTAGGTGTATTTCGGTTTCATACGGAACGCTTTTCCAATTGTAGAGTCGCCTTCGGTTGCCTTGGTGACATTTTGACATAACCAACTGCGTTCCGTATAGACCGGTTTTTCAGGAACCAGACATTACGGAACGTGTAACCGTAACCAAGGTTGACAACGGAACCCACCCTAAATACGCATTTCAGTGGCGTTGACATAGCAAGTGGCAAGTGGCGCCTTGGACAGTTTTTAAACCTAAAAAGTTGGTTTTTTAGAAAAGGGAAACAAAACAAAGGAAAAAAAAAATAATAAATAATAATAAATTCTTGTGCTTGGTGCCATTTTGTGCTAAGGTATATTATTCAAAACGAACTCTGCTCTTACAATTTCAATAACACAACTGCAAATTTCATTTCAAACGTATAGTTTCAAATTACGCTTACAATGACGAACTTTATAAAATCTCGTTTGAACATTATCAAAGAAAAGATACAACTCTCTCTTCAAACGTGCCAGGCAGCAATTAAAGATTTTCAAGAAAATAACCCAGGTTCGACAACATTGATGATCGAGGGTTCAAAATTAAACGTACTCAATGAAAGATTTTCGGCGGATATTTCCTCGTATTATGCTACAGCTCCTGACGTAGCAGATGAAGAGTTGAAAGAACACACGGAACTTTTACTTCAAGCTGACATGTTGATTGCCGAAATTAATGTTTACCTAAACATGACCCAACCAAAGGAAACTCAACCGGCGCCTAGAGTCGACAATGTTGAAACGTCTCGCAAACTCCCTCAAATTGCACTTCCTAAGTTTGATGGGGATTTGCTTAAATGGCACACCTTTTGGGACCAGTTTGCTTCTAATGTGGACAGTAGAAATATGAGTGAAGTGGACAAACTATTATATTTACAAACCGCTCTTGAAGGTGAAGCCAAACAAGCAGTGGAGGGCCTTGAAACAACCAATCAAAACTACACGATAGCGATCGACACACTAAAAACGAGGTATGGAAATAAAAGTACAATAATAGACGCCCATTACAGGGCCCTATACAATATAAAAACTGCTGACCAATCGGTCAAAAGTTATCGAAGCGTTTTGAACGAAATTGAGCGACATCTTCGAGTTCTCCAGTCACTTGGTGAAGATGTGAATCACAACCATTTTCGTGTAATGATAATGGAAAAATTCCCACCAGAGGTCATTTACGAATTACGCATGAAATTGACCACCGAGGGGGATACTATCAGCAATATAAGGAAGGGTTTGGAGCAAATAATATCTGCCAGAGAATCATCCAGTAGAATTCATGCCGAATCCAGCAGAAATTCAGAACCTACAACAAGTAAGGCAAATAACGATCAATTTTCTTTGGAGGCTCTACACACACGAAGACAATATAAAAAGGCGAATCAACGTAAATTTGGTGAATCAATTTCCTCCGAAACAATGGATCATCGCAATTCTCGAAAACGACCTTGGCAGAGCGAAATTTCAAATCGAAGGGAACGTTATGATACAAAAGAAAACAACGACTATCGATTCCGAAACCGACGATCTCAACCCTCATCAAAAAAGGCTAAGAGATCGTGTGTTTTTTGTAATAGAGACCACTTTAATGACGAATGTACAATATATAGAACAATTCAAGAACGAAAAAGGCAACTAAAAGATACTGTCTCAAAGAAGGTCATCGGGCAACTCAGTGTAAAGATAAACGGAACTGTTATCATTGCAAAAAATACGGAGAGCATAACAAAGCATTATGCCCCACACTTGAACCGCCACTGGATCAATCATCCACTCAAACTACTACCAACTCATCGAACAACAAGGATGATGAAACTATTCTACAAACAGCTGTAGTTACTATTTATGAATCAGCAAAAAAGAGGACCGCACTACTATGTCGGGTCTTGCTAGACTGCGGAAGTCAACGCAGTTACATCACAGCAGATTGTGCTCGATTTTTGAACTTACAAACAGTAGAAGAAAATCAGTTAACTGTATTTACATTTGGCCAGAACCGACCTAATGAAATCAATAGTCCGGTGGTTCAGCTTCATATGGTAACTCGCTGCAATATTTCTAGTATGATTTACGCCAACGTCGTCCCTTATATTACAAAGGGAGTCAAGTCACCTCATCAATTGTCCGCCAACCTGAACAAGTATCGCAGTGTAACCGACAGTATGTTGATGGCCGACGATGGTTCCAAGGGAGATAAAATTGACATTCTTATTGGAAATGACTATTATAGCCATTTTTTGCTCAATGAAACGAAAGAAGTCTCGTTGGGACTTTACTTGATAAATTCCAAATTTGGATGGATTTGGTCTGGAAAACCGACAACTTTTCGTCATACAGTTGTTGAGTTATCTGCTTTAACTTATTTCCAAACAAGTGAAAATTGTCCTTCGGCATTTCCTCAACCAGATTTACCATTACGCAATACGGACATTAATAATCTTTGGGATCTCGAATCAATTGGCATCACCGATTCTCCGAAGTCAACTCGTGATGACGAAGCTATTCACCAGTTTAACAACAATATAAAATATATTGAACAACGCTACCATGTGACATGGCCTTGGATAGAGTACCCTCCCGAATTATCAACCAATTTTGGTTTATCCTACGGACGGCTTACTAACCTCATGAAGAGACTTTGTACAAAAACATTACAAACGTACGATTCAGTTATTCAAGAATATCTGTCGAAAGGCATTATCGAAAAGGTAGCTACTCCACTTCGGCAACCTAGACATCCAGTTCACTATTTACCACACCACTGTGTATTAACAGAAGATGGTTCAACGAAGCTTCGAATTGTTTACGATGCTTCGGCCAAAGTGAAAGATTCGAAGAGCCTTAATGAAAATTTATATCGAGGCCCGCTATTACTAAACGATCTCACATCACTGTTGCTTCGTTTCCGTACACACAACCTTGGAATAACAGCGGACGTCGAAAAGGCCTTCTTACAACTGGGGCTACAATTTCCTGATCGTGATACAACACGATTTCTCTGGGTTAAGGACATCACACGAGAGAACTCAAAGGATAACCTCGAACATTATCGTTTTTGCCGTGTACCTTTCGGTGTTATATCGAGCCCTTTTCTTCTGGAAGCTACAGTTAAATATCATTTAACAAAGAACGCCCAATCATTCCCGGTCTCCATCAAAGACGACATCTATGTTGACAACCTCATTACCGGGACTTCTACTATTTCCAACGGCATCCTGTTATACAAAGCGTGCCAAACAACATTTAAAGCCATGTCCATGAATTTACGTGAATGGACGTCCAATTCCAAGGAATTTGTAAACCACATCCCACTCGAACATCGTAGTCAGCACCAAGATAAAGTGAAAGTATTAGGTTTGGAATGGTGCCTCTCTACGGATTCTCTCCGTTTGCGATTCAATCCTCAACTGGCAGTATCCGTTTCTCAAGCGAATTCCAAGCGATGCATTTTACGTTTATTGGCTTCCGTTTATGATCCATGTGGTTTTGTGGCACCACAGATGTTACCAGTTAAGCTTTTTATGCAAGAACTATGGCGTAAAAAAGTCAGTTGGGATTCTCCACTTCCGGAGGACTATCGTCACAAATGGGCAATTATCGCCGCTGAATTTACACGTATTATGACAGTGCAAGTACCAAGATTTTTTGCTCGAACGCTCATTCCGTCACCCGCAAACTGTACATCCAATATTTCGTATGAATTACATTGTTTTGCAGACGCTTCTCCACATGCTTATGCCGCAGTCGTTTATCTTCGATGTACCATAAACAACAGACATGCAGTTTCTTTTGTAATTGGAAAAACTCGTGTATCACCTATAAAAGATAAACATGCGCTCCCAATTCCTCGTTTGGAGTTGTTGGGTGTTCTTATTGGAAGTCGCCTTCTGTCTTTCGCGAGAGAGGCCCTACAACTTCCAATTACTCAACTCGTTTTATGGACAGATAGTCAAGTCGTGATTTCGTGGTACCACACGGACAAGCTTTTACCACCTTTCGTTCAGAAACGTGTTCTAGAAATTCGCAAAACTTCAAGTTTACATCTTCGTTACATTCCAACCAATCACAATCCGGCGGACGTCGCTACTCGTCCGCTTAAGTCAACCTCCAAAATCGATCAATGGCTTACAGGGCCTCCATTCTTACACCAGCATGTCTCTTTATGGCCACCAACGTATCCTCAGGCGACAGTCGAGACTCAAATCCAACTTTCCGTCAGTGGGGAGGCTTCATCGCAAGATGAAATTATTGACAAGATGCCCCATGAAACTCGAACAATCCCAGAAAAAGAATTACCAGTTTCTGAGTCAAATAAAATACAGTTACTCGAGACCGAGGTCATTAAGCAATTGCAAGAAAAACATTATCCTGAGGAGTGTAGTGGCAAGCAAACGAACTTGGCCAGATCCTTAAAAATATGTAAAGATCAGAATGGTATTTTAAGATGTCAAGGGAGGTTACAAAACGCCGCTTGGATCAACAACAATTATCCAATATTACTTCCTCCCAATACCGAGGTAACAAATAGGATAATACTACAAGTACATACACAAAACTACCATGTCGGCGTATCCCACACCCTAGCAATTTTACGGATCAATTATTGGATACCAAGGGGTCGAGCACAAGTACAGAAAATCTTGAATAAGTGTTCAAATTGTAAAAAGTATGGCGGCGGTCCGTATAAGTTGCCGGAGATGCCACCTCTGCCAACTGAAAGGGTCAATTATTCTAAACCATTTCAATTTACTGGCGTGGATTATCTCGGACCAATAACAATAAGAGAAGAGAAGACAACAGCTAAACGTTGGATCTGTTTATTCACCTGTTTAGCTGTCCGAGCGGTGCATCTGGAAATTGTGAAAGAATTAACTGCGGAAGAATGTGTGATGGCTTTGAGACGGTTTATTGCATTGAGAGGACTGCCTGAAGCTGTCGTTTCAGATAACGCACTTTATTTCAAGTTATCAGCCGAAATATTTACGGGCGAGTATTGTATTAAAAACAATATTAAGTGGAAATTCATCCCCGAACGGGCCCCTTGGTTCGGCGGTTTCTACGAAAGGTTAGTGAGTTTAATAAAGCATTGTCTAAAAAGGACAGTAGACAAACATTTATTGAATGATACTCATCTTTATACAATTATCAAAGAAATTGAAAACGTTATAAACCTGCGACCATTAACAACTGTTGGCCAAGAGTTGGACCACGTTTTAACACCCGCAGACCTATTATATGTTAAAGTACACATCCCAACCGAAAGCTCCAATACGGAACTCGAAGTACCAGCAACAGTTACAAAATCGAGTCTAATAGAAAGCTGGAAACGAGGCCAAACAGTTGTTCAAGAATTCAACAAAATGTTTATTAATCAATACTTGATCAGTTTAATAAACAGGCGTAATATTCACAAGCAGCCGCGCATCGTTGTCGATACAGTACCCAAAGAAGGTGATATCGTTCAAATTAAAGCTGAAACGAATCGTGCACATTGGTTAACGGGGAAGATTATTAAAGTATTTTACGGAGCTGACAACAAAGTACGAGTAGCTCAAGTAAAAACTGAAAAGGGAAATGTCCTAACAAGATCAATTGGCCATTTATATCCTTTGGAACTTAGTCAGTCAGACGATACACCGCAGCAACCAATCGATCCAAGTACAGACAGTGCAGAGTGTCAATCGATTGATCCAACAAATGCAACAGATCAGGTTTCAAGTCCCGAGGCTGAAGCATTGAGTCAAGTTGTAAATCCCGATAATGATCAGAGCGTGCTAAGCCAAGCAGAGTACAAAAACCCCGATGCTGAGGCATCGACAATATTAGAAGGCAGACCCAAACGTGCTGCATCGCAGAGAGCCAGGCAAAAATTACAGGAATGGACTTCTCAATTACTGTTGAACACACAATTGTTTCAATCTCTTTAATATAAATGTCAAACTTTATTTACTTAAACTTTTCAAATAAATGAATAGCTATTTGCAAACAATTAATTAGTCAGTCTCAATAATCCAATTCTTCCTGTGTGTTGGGAATGTCGCGAAGTTTCGCGAGGAAAAAAAAGAGAGAGAGAGAGAGAGAGAGAGAGAAAGAGAGGCAAAAAGAGTGGAAAAAACAGTCACAGTAAGTGAGTGAGTGAGGAAAGAAGTGAAAAGTGTTAAGGTGTGGTAAGGGTGGCTAGAAGGGGATGGAGGAGGCCACATCAAAGGTAACAGGTAACAAAAAGAGAATAAAAAGAGAATCCTGCGGGATTAGACTATACAAGTGCCAAGGTAACGCCTCAAGGTTATGCATGCAATAAAAGAGAATCCTGCGGGATTGTAATTACAATCTATCAAGTTAAAATAAAGTAAAAGAGAATCCAGAAGGATTTATAGCAGTGAGCTAATGCAAGTAATTCCAGGAGCATGGCCCGCGCAAAGGGATGCTTCTGGACAATTATCATGGTGCATTTGTTTTCGTGCAAGGCTCAACCAAAACCTAATTTTTTTTTCCGAAGTCTGAATGACTCCGAAAACTTTTTATCGTCACCACACAAGTGATTTGTAATCAATACTCTGAAGTACCCTCCATCCATCTTTCTTTTAAAGATGAAATGTTTAGGAAGTCTTGGCAAACTCAACATTTCTAGCATGTCTTCATCGCCAATTTCTTTCAGAAAGAGATGGTTTAATAACATTGTTTTACTTTTCCCACTTATCCTTTTTGTTACATTCATCGCGACACTCACTGTATCAAGAAGAGAAGAGTTGACAGCCTACTAACAGAAATTTTAGCCAAAGAATATTTTTTAGGAGAGCTAACAGAATAGTGAATAGTCGCTGTCAAGCAAAACGCGCCAGCTGACGATAAACACAAGCAATTATCGCTCTGCGATCATTGCAATAGTCGCTCCAAGCAAAACGTACCTTTACGTCTTCTTACACACAAGCAAAGCATAGCTTAGATGCGAGTGAAAGATAGCAAAGTAGGATTGTTTAAGAGTTCTTGAAGACACACACATTGACAAATTCCTTAGAACAAAAGCATTTTTAAACAATTTTTTTTTGGAGTCATGGTTTTTTGGGTTTCGGCTTCGTTCAAGAAGAGTTTATTAGTTGGAAACCATTGCTTGGCTCTCGCCTGTGCCTCCCTAGACATGTCCGTTGCTGTCCGTATGTCTCTGTGTTTGACTTGTCCTGTCGTGTCATTTGCAAAATTAATTTTTTCTTTTTCTGTTTTTGCTATGTTTGGCAGGTCGTTTATGTGAAGTAAGAACAAAATAGGCCTTAGGATGAGGATTGAACCAATTCAATCATTACCATTCCAAAGATTTATCAACATCATTATTATTAGTACAAATAAAGTCTTTTTTTTAATGATAATTCCCCATGTCAAAATTTTAGTAACTATGTTGGCAACACAAACCTTTTCTACATAAATTTTTTTATGTCATACCAATACATTATTGTGTTTTTATACCTTAGATAGCATCTACATAATTGATTACTTTATGCCCGTGCGGGCATAAAGTACACATTATGGCCCGCGCGGGCATAAAGACGCAAAAAACAGTTTCCGATTAACTTATTCTTTATTAACAAAATATAAATTTACGTTTATATACATATTATTTTTTGTACAACTGTCGAAAAATGATGATGTTTGCACACTGATGAC